ATGATGTACATGTTCAATAACCTTAAATTACGTTGAAATATTAAAAAAACTGTTTTCCATGAAATACTAAGTGGGTTCGTTAAAAACCCAAGAGTGTTCGCATTTTTATTTCTAATTGTTAAACCTATATAAATACATGTAAATTTATTCCATATTATTGGTTTTATTTACATATGTGACGTACATACATATGTACATGTTTATGTAGAAGACAATTCATTGATTGGAAGCTAAAAAATTAACTTAATAAGAGGACATTAAATACATACTATACATACCTTGAGCAGACATTAAGGAAATGCGTTTTATTATTTATAAGGCATTGTTTATGGTAAGCTATGTATGCAGCTCGAGGAAACCAGAGGCTGTAAATAAAAGTTTTGTTTCGTTTATTTTTCGTTAAAATTTAGCATTGGATGTTAACCCTTAACTATTGATGTTGGTCAATGTGAGACAACACAAAATTTATTGTTAAGTAATAATTGCAAAACCGCCTATCTTACGACACTCAATTTTTACAGGCTTATTTTTTGAAGGCATTGCCTCTAGCTAGTATTTTAAAAAAATTGTTTTAATAACGATTTAACGATTTTTATGCATACACCTCGATGCCTGGAGTTCAGGGTTACCAAATGTAATTTTTGACACAACGGCGATTGGGTGGTTGTGCAACTGGTCGATGGGCGGTTTCGCCAAAACATCGACGATGCATAGATCGTTTCACCAGAAACTGTTTTCAGTGAAATTACTACCCTTTTCAATTTACAAAAGTATAAAAGCTTCGAACTTCTTTTTTTTACTTTACACAAATCTAATTTAAGTTTTATTAGCAGCATCTTCACACCATATGTTAAGAAAAAAGCGCAAAATAGCCAAAAATTTATTCATATCCTTAAAACGAGTAATACTGGTTAAAATAAAAATTCATCAACTTTACAAGAGTATATAATAAATTTGGCAACTTTCACAATAACTGGAAGCTAAGGAATGTTTTTAGTAAGGAATTTTTCTTGGCTTTTTTTGTGCATATCGTGTAAATTAAAAAAAAAAATTTACAAATATTTACATATTCTTATACATATGATAATACAACTATGAATTGATTACACTTGTGACTTCTAGTACATATTATTAAATGCAAACATTTCTCACTTGATTTCCGCAAACTTACCGATCAAATCTTCACATTCCAAGCGTCGGAGTAAATCCGACTCAATGCACAGAATAGCTACTTAGGGCCGGTTGTTCAATGTCTGGTTAACACAAATCGGAGGTAGAAGCTCCGGTTAAATAAAACGACTGCTTTATCGATCACATGTTATGTGCATGATGTCGAAATCGACGATAATGATATTTGACTGGGAGCGACTGGGCGATTTGCCCTCATACAGCCAATTTACACGATGGCTTTTCACCCTGGATGGTAGGCATGCACGCACGGTTAGCGAAATTCAACTTTTTAAACAGGTGCCAACCCTCCCACATGTAGCTAAAAAAATGAAGTGTATTCAATACCTTTTTGGTATAATTCATTTAACTTAATAAATAATTTGAATTTGATTTTCGTACATATGGCAACCCTTTACAAAACTAAAACCAATTTGCATATTTACAGATCAAGATCTTTAATTTCATACCTTATTTTTTTAAATGCTATCGTTCGTTGCGTTATGATTTGGTGTTAAATATTTAACGCAAACATCTCCGAACTCGATTAAGAAGTTTCACTTCAAAAAAAGTTCTTAATTAAAATGTAAAACTACACGCAAAGGTCTTTAATTTGATCTCCAATTCGAAAGAACTGTGAAAATTTAATGACTATCATAAAAAATGCCTTCTCGTATAATATACATATGTAGGTATGTAGTTATTTAATTAGATCGTTATGACTTTTCGAAAAGGTGGTAAGCCTGATCAAAAAAATGTTCGAACCAAAGCTATCAACAATCTCTTTCGATTGACATCCATATCTTTATATTTCATAAAACTTGTGTATAAGTTAACTAAACTCGACTTTTCAAACGGGTGGCAGCCCTAACCGCTACTGTACCTGAAATTATTATATCAGGTTTGGTCTTTGTTTTAAACGAAATTAAAAAAAAAAAAATCAGAAAAATTACTCAATTCTTATCCAGACACGTTCCGAGTCTTTAACACAGAATTTTATGTGTTTTTTTTTTTATGAGTAGAAAAAAAATGTAAAAAGAAACGAAAATAACAACGAGAGGAAATAGGAAAACGTCCAAAATTACGCCGCGTTTTTTTGGGTCCAGCACGCGCTGCCACCCATTGTCGTTAAAGTACGTTTATATATAAATATAATCTGAATCAAAGCTCGTTTTTTAATCACTCGGTTTTTTCAGGCAAATCTCTGACAAATCCGTCAAATTTGTTGTTTTTTTTATTCTCATAACTCAAGGAAACGTAAAGTTTCTTCTCTGTGCTACTGTAATCACTTAATTTGCCATAATATTTTATTAAAAATACCTTTACAAACCCTCTTTTCCTTGCTAGCGTTCATTTTTGTTTACTTTTACATTTGAATTTTCTCCTCTTCTTCGCAACAGTAAACTTTGGAATCTGTTGAAAAGATCCAGTTTTTTGTCGTTTAGGTAATTATCAAAATGATTATATTTCGGTTTTTAACGAAAAGAAATTCAATCGTGAATGCTGCAGCTGTATCATGCATTTAGGTGATAGGTGTTAACAGTGAACTGGCAATGGCATACAACAACTTTTCGTTGATTTATTTTGTTTCGATGTTAACGATTGATGATTTATTCAACGTAAACGATTGAGTTTTGTATCGTTAAATTAGCTCTGAAACGAAGCGAAGTTATTTTGATTACTTAGTTTTGCGCATCAACAAAACGAAATCGATTCATATAGTTTGTTGAGCATCTCCAAGCCAGCACCATAAACACCGCCATATGAATTTGTATAATTGATCGCTATTAGCGATTTTAATCGCATCCCGTTACGCGAATCCGCTAGGTCATAAGCCCGGCTTAAAGGTGCTCCTATGAAATAGATAGTGAAATATAAGCAAAACTTATGGCCATAACTCACTTAAAACGCGCTCTAAAAAATTACACCAGGCCGCGGTAAAGGCATTTATGAGCTTATACATGAATCTGTATGTTAAGAGAAAACTATGTACCAGAGATCTCTTGAGTGAATTCTGCGAAAACGACCGTAAGTACGAAAATAATTCCCGCTTTGACTTGAGTAAATATATATCAGACAATGCATCAACTCGTCAGTGTTCGGATGCGATTCATGGGAGACGCTTCAGTAACTAAGAAATCATGATTGAAAAAAAGTTTCCAATCATAGTGATTTTAATCGTGATAAACTCTCAACAATGGCTTCAGTTAGAAGCTCATAAATGCACTGCGGTAGAAGGTGCAAACAACTTTGGAATCTACAGTTGTCGAGGGGTGCAAACTCTGAGTGAAATAGAAGAGGAGTTGACAGCTAGTTGGCGGGGTATTGTTGTGCGAAATGGCGAAAATGAGTTCCTTGATTTTTCAGGTGAGCGGGGCTGTATGTGTATATTTATATGTACACACATATGTATTGAGCTGTGAAAAAATATATGAAAGCAGCTTGGTAAGTTGCATTATCATTTGCAGCGCAATCTGGCGAGCAACTTCAAAAATCGACGTGGGCGCAGATCGTTGAATTAGATTTGTCGCAGTCTGGTGCTCTAAGTCTCGGCGATGAAGGCTTCAGAGCGTTCGTAGCTTTGGAGCGATTGAATATAACGAATGCACAATTGGAAGATTTGAAGACGCACTACTTTCCCAATGCAGCTAAAATTAGGTATCTTGATGCCAGCTGGAACGACTTTCAAAAGTTGAATGCAGCAAATTTTCGACGCCTATCGCAACTGAAAGTCGCAAATTTTTCACATAATAATATAGGACTTATCGAACAAGGCACGTTTGCGGAGCTTTCGCACCTGGAATTCCTTCACCTGGACAACAATGCGCTGACTAACGCATCGATTGGCGCCTGCAGTAGACTCAAAGAGCTAACGCTCTGCGATAATGCCATCGAAAAGGTATATTGCATTGTAAAGAGTGCTGCTGATAAATCACAAATATTTTTTCTCTTTGTCTCAGTTGTCCGTATATGACTTCGCTGGGTTGCCGCAACTACGTCACTTGCGTCTCACCACTAATTCCATACACTTTATTAAAAGCGGTGCATTCGAGCCTCTCGGAAAGTTGACTGTACTCAATCTTGCCGCGAATGCTTTGCAACGGCTATCCGCTGAAACATTCCGTGGATTAGAGAAAGCGCCATTGCAGTTCTTGGACCTGAGTTCAAATGATTTAGGCATCTTGCCAGTACAGCTGTTCGCGCCGCTACGAAAATTGCAAATTTTAAACCTCTCCAGCAATAAATTGATCGCGCTTCAAGCTGAAATTTTCGAGGGTTTGACGGCACTACGCAAAGTTTATTTGCATGACAATGATATCGACGCTATTCGCCCCAACACATTCGCAAACCTTACCGCCCTCGAATCGCTGGATTTATCAGGAAACAATATACAGGTGCTGAATGCATATGCTTTCGGCACAGTGGCCTTGCCGCGCTTCCAGAAGCTAACAATAAAGACCAACAGCTTGAAGCACTTACATTCGCTTGCCTTTGCTGCACTGCCCTTCATGGATCATCTCTCGATGGGCAACAATGACTTGGCCATATTGGATGTACGCTCATTGGCGCCGCTGCGACGTCTGAGAAAGCTTCATTTGGGAAATAATTCACTTGAAGAAATAACGACTGAGTTGCTTCCTGTTCTAAACGATGTGGCGGAGCTACTTCTGGACAATAATAAGTTATCGTTTCTACCGCACATGACTGACAGAGAGTTTCCCAATCTGGTAAAGTTTTCTTTGGAAGGCAATCCATGGCAATGCACCTGTCTGGATGATTTATTCGTTTGGTTAAATAAGAAAGAAGTAGATTACTTCCGTCCACAGAGTCCATTTTACCAGGGTGAAAGAGCCTTGTGTGTTGTAACGGATAAAGAAGAATGTGTGAGAGAATTGACGACTGTAAAAAATAGTGGCTATTTAGATTTTTATGAAATGACAAGGAAAAATTATTTTTAAATAACCGACCTTTTTGTTTGAAAGCATAATATTAAAAAACATTTTTATATCTCATCTATTATATAATGAATAAAGCGTAATGTTGCCTGTCTGAACGCGTTAAACCCAAAAACTACCAATACGATTTTATTACGGGTTTTCAAAAGTGGACGGTGTAATTCATGACGGAGGTTTTCGCGTAAAATTTGTTATGGTTTAGTATAAATTGGCTGAAATGTGGAGATAATAGTATATGAATAGAAAGTGTTGGGGGAAAAAATAATGTCGATGCCATATAACTATAGCAAAACAATTAAATAATTAAATCTAATGTTACAAGATTAGTGTCAAACGAATGATGTTTGAGAAGGTTTTAAACCCAACTTATTAGTTTTGCGAGCAGCTTCATCAGAACTTGCAGCAGAAGTAGAAGATTCAGTATCCGTATCTTGGCTAGTGCTTTTCCAAATATCTGAGTACATTTGGTTTACCTCAACGAGCCTGCTAGGTGATTAATCATCAATTTGAAGCTAATGGGTATATAAGTACAAATAAATTAATTTTTCTATGGTAATTGGTTCAGCTATGTATGCCGTGCTGGGTGTGTACACTTTCATATACATACATACTCAGATGTGAACATTCAAAAACGTGAGTGCTAAATTTTATTATGAAAATATTATTTTTAAAAATGAACATTTTTAACGAATAAAATATCTAGTATTAATCAAATATAAAGTATTTACTTTTACTATGCATTATTTCCCTCAGTGTAGTAAGCCAGTGCGTTTAACGCTGACCACTGTCCATAACTGGCTTACAGTTTTACAGGTGATTTCGTAATGCAATCTGTCGTTCTCTATTTTTGTAAGCCACTCGGAAATAAGTAGCTTGTAAGGTTTTAGGGATGCTTATATTTCATCCTTCATATCCTCAATAGGAAGTTTTGTGCTAATTCACAGCAGTTCATCGTCCTTGCAATTCCCTTTTATCACTGTGCGGCATTTCATGGCTACAATGCAGGTTGTCGGCTGTGTCGTGAGGGATTTGATTGCCGCCTGTGGCTGTCAAAGAAAATGTAGATATCAGCTTGGGATATCATATCACACTTTACCAATGTTGTGGCCCTGCCGATTGCCAACAATTCCGTCTGAAAAACGCTACATTGGTCCAGAATACGAAAGCTAAGGAAGATTGCTAGGTGTTCTAAGTTTACACCTTCACCAACCCTACTCTCGAGCATGAAGACATCTGTGTATACAGGAATGGACTCTCCACTCCTTAGAGTGTGGGAGCAGGCTTCAGAACTGTGTAGTCCATCAATCTCCGTTACAATCCTGCCACGCCTATAACTAGTATTTGATTAGTTGTCTAGACAAGGGGTTCCCAAACTCTTTCCACAGCGGCACCCTTGTTGTGCTAAACAAAATATTCGCTACACCCCTACTCTTCAAATGTCTACCAAAACAAGAAAACAATATGCAAACTTTATGCTGCTTTAGCTTTAATATTAACATTGAAATTGTTTTGAATATTACATTATTGCCTTTAAGTTTATTGGGACCTTTGACAGTTTTACCCTGAAATCATTTGACGCTGAAAGCCTGCTGGAGCATTTGTTTTTAACCGACTTCACGAAAAGGAGAAAGTTATCAATTCGTCGGAACATGTTTTTATTATTATTTTTTATATGTAGATATGTTACCGCATAACTTTGGACCACGTTAACCGATTACTTTAGCTAATTCTTTCTGTTATAGGAAAGGTGTTACCTCACAGGTGGTCCCATTCTAATTTGGTATACATCCTATCATTGAATCATGAAAAGATTAAGGGTAATCTTAAATTTGTGTATGAGAATTGGAGTCTGTTTTGTTTTTTGCTCAAAAATTTCTTTTTTGTGTAAGCATTTGTTGAATATGCAGTCTCACATAGAAATGTGAAAGCAAAAGTCACTAGTACTTTTAATTCAACCTTGCCAACAGCAGTGTTTTCTGCATACACTTGCATCCAGAACTCTCTTGGCTCCTTTTGAAGTATTTAATATCCAAAGTGCTGTCTTCACTGATGTCCAGCAGGTTTTCAAAAGCTTAATTTGTCATCTGAGTAGACTTGCTTTTCGGGTCACATGAAAAAGGGTTTGTTATCCATCTTCAGAGTCAATGTTAAGAAAATATTGGACAATGATGTATATTGATTTCGCAGGCCTCTGTTATCTTCGCAGCTTCATCCAATACGGGTTTTAAATCTAGTGGCGGCATCTTCCTAGTCACCAGGCCATACCGAGGTTGTCTGACTTTATCACGTTTGTCTGGATTGTGTGGTCAGAAAGGCCAGTGCTGCCAAAATTTTGGCAATTGCTTATGGAGTTTTGCTTACGCTGGGCATGCCTGATCTAAATATCTATATCAATGTTAGTGGATAGTTTAAGCTGGTAAGTGCCATTAGCTACATCCTCGTCTGTCAAAATTAATTTCCAGAAGTTGATGGCAATATCCACATTTGACAAGAGATCTTCAGGAACAAAATCATCACCAGGATAGAATTCTAAGAAAAAACTCACTAATAGATAATATAATTAAACTAATTCTTCAGTTTGAGTCCTTTAGGGAACGACGTATGCTTAAAGGTTTAAAATTTAAGCATTACAATATGACTGGCGCAAACATTAGATAGAGCACACTTAAAAATACCATAACAACCAGCTACATCCACATTTTCGAAGAGCTTATACTTATCCAAATCAAAAAACTTATTTAGTTCAGTAAAATTAAAACTAGACTATTTAAAAGCAACCGCCTGACTACCAGTTGGTAATTCAAAACATTGATAAAACTCTATATTCAATACCAATGGACCGATGCACAGTGGTTCAAAACTAGAATTTTATGTTCTCAATTTACTGGAGCATTAATTTTTCACTCAGTTTGATATTTTTTTTTTATGAGATCTAATAGAATTTTCAAAAGACCAGTTGAGCCCGATGTTCGAACCTTTGCTTTATATGTATTTAAAAAAAAAAATCGATTTATGAGGCGTTCCTTATTTTTCATGAATTTGGGTATTAGCGAATATATTTTCGAAGGTAGTTAGAAAGTAGAAAATGCATCGGCTTTCTTCTGTAAATTTAATATATAATCTTTAGTTCTAGCCTACATATTGGGCACTTTCTTCAAAGGTGTATTAATTCAATATTTACTAATTTAAATACCTTATAAGGATTTCAGACAGGTGGCAACCCAATTCAAAAATATTTTCGACAGCAAACTTTCGTACACCTTTTTAGTTTATTACCCGTATTGCAATATTTCATTTTTTTGATCAATTTAAATCAATGGAAATTTTTTAAACAGGTGGCAATCCTACTAAAAAATATATTCTGAAGTAATCTTTCCTTAGTTTG